GCGCTCACCCCGATCTCGATCTGGATCGGGGGGGGCGAGGGGGAGATATTTCGGGGGAAGTGGGGGGCGTGTCGGTGGGTGGGTCTGGTGTAGTGGGGGGAGGTTATAGGCGGGGGTGGGCCTTGGCCCAGTTGGGCCTGTGGCCTGCCGGGCCGAAGCCCCGAGGGGCAGGGGGCTTTCTCCTTTTTTTCTAGTTTTAGTTTTAGTTTTTCTTTTCTTTTTGTATTTTCTTTCTTTTACTTATTTTCTATTCTGTTTTATTTCATTTTAAATCATTTAGGCATTTTCTAAAAATGTGTTTACTTCACCATAATTACCAGTGCAATATTTGGCACCCACCGAACATTTTTGGTTTCAACTTTTAAAAACTTTTGTTGTTTGCCATTTTCTGAATTGATTTTTGAATCGGTTTGAACTAACGAAAGTTTAGCAACAGTAATCACCGATGACATGGCATCATTAGGAGAGTTTTACTGTAGCCTAATTATCTGGGCGTTACATATGATCATTCTCCCGGGAACAAAGGCTGACTGCTCAACTGATATTATCTCTGGTAAAACAAGTTTTAACCTGTTAGCCACTACCTTCGAAGCTATCTTGTAGATCACGTTGCATAGACTGATAGGTCTGAACTGCGACAACAGCATTGGGTTGTTTACTTTCGGAATCAGCACAAGAATCGTATCGTTAATGCTCGACGGGTTCTCTTCCCCCCCTCACAATTCTGAGAACAATATCTGTCACTTCATCTCCACATACATCCGAGTGCTTCTGATAAAATTGGGCAGGGAACCCGTCTGGCCCCTGGGCTTTAGTAGGGAACATTTGGAAGAGGGCTATCTTCACCTCCTCATGGGTATAAGGTGCACACAAATCCCTGTTCATAGCAGCCGTCACCTTCCGGGGTACATGTTCCATTACACGGTCTTATGTCCTGAACTCCTTCTGATGAATAAAGATTTTGGTAAAACTCATTTACCATGGCTTTCAACTCAGCCGGATCAGTCACCATTGATCCCAAAGCATCTTCTAGAGCCCGGATCATGTACTTTTTTCTCCTTAGACTACCCCGCAAGTGAAAGAACTTTGTATTCTTATCTCCCGAGGCTAGCCAGACAGTAAGAGCCCGCTGCCTCCACATTATCTCTTCCCTATGATAGAGTTCAACTAGCCTCTCATTTATTTTTAGTTCGACATGTGAGGGTGCAGTACGCAACGGATCACCCCGAAGCTCGTCTAGTCTCTTCTTTAACTCTTTCATCTCTCTTCTGACACTCCCAAAAGACCTCCTGCTCCAGTTGGTTAGACCCATTGAGACGCTCACCAACTTGTCATGGTGCTGCTGCACATTAACACATGGCCCCGCTGCAGCCCACTCCGAACTGATAGTTCCCGTTAGTTCCTCATGTTTCTCCCACATGGTCTCATACTTGAAGGCGAACTTGGTTCTATTTTCTTGATCTTGGCCTAGATCAAGGAGGATCAGCCCATGGTCTGAGGTTGCAGCTGTGTGATGCTCCAAATTTGCTGAGGGAAACCGAGCTAGCCACTGTGCATTCACCAACGCCCGGTCGAGCCTGCAACGTGTGTATGTCTCCCCGGCCACCTTCTTTTCAAAAGTCCAAAACCAGCCCTTATAGCCAATATCAATCAACATGCAAACATCTATAGTTTCGCGAAATGCCTGAATCTGCGCATTGCTTCTTTCTCCAATACCCACGTGTTCGTTTGGACGTAACCTCATTAAAATCCCCCATGCAGAGCCATGGGAGAGAGTTCAAAGTACTAATATTCTTCAGTACTTCCCAAGTTTGGTGTCGTAGGTGGGTCTGGGCCTCCCCATAGACACATGTCATCCGCCACATCTCCTGACCTGCTTCTTCAATCGACACATCAAGATGATAACACGAATAACCCAGAATTTCAACCTTTATTACATCATTCCAAAACAATCCTATTCCTCCACTTCGACCTCTACTATCCACTGCATAAGCTCTATCATAGCCCAACGTTCCAGCTAAAGTTTCTACCCTCGATCCCTCTATCTGAGTTTCGACAATACATAACAGGGCAGGGCCAAACTTCCTCGCGAATTCGCGAAGTTCTTGGACTGTCGCGGCGTTGCCCACACAGCGGCAGTTCTAGCAGAGGGCACTCATTGGTGCGGGCGGCGCCCCTCGAAGGAGCCTGCCAAATTCTTTACTGCAGTGGTAATGATCTCCTGACCATCATCTCCCATTCTGGACCTCTTCGGATTCCTCGACGGAGGCGGACTGACCACATTGCCCCCAACAACAACAAGCACCAGATTTTGAGGATTCTGGTCCATAGGTGTCTTCTCTGGAGGCATATTGGTGTTGCCCGAATCATACCTTTCAGTTCTCTTCCTGCTATTATCATCCAGAGCCATGGTCGCCGAGTCAAGGGTTGGGTCTTCGTCCCCATCTGAGCCAAAACTTGATGTGTCCTCCCTCCTAGCATTACGATTTGCTCCAGCTCTTCCTCCCCTTCTTCCACCTCGTCGTCCTCTATTCTCACCCGGTCCTCTTCCAATCCTCATGGCCCAGGTAGCTCGTGGCTCTTTAAAAACTAGAGCTGAATTAGGATGGATTCCATTACCATGTTCCTTGAAAACATGTCCTAGGTGGCCACAGACCGCACACCAATCAGGGAGCCGCTCATACTTTACCCTGTAGATCAGTCGCCGTTGGTTTCTGATCAGGGAAACCGCATTCTTCAGTGGCTTGTGCACATCAATTCTGACTCAAACGTGATAGAAATTGCCGTAAAATCATGGGTCGCTGTTTCACAGAACAAAACTTCCCCCACTTTAGCTGCAAGACTAGGAACCAGACGGGCAAAGAGATCCGGGACGTCATAGATCTGAATCCATATGTCCGGTGTATCCAGCTTGACATGGGACGGTTGAGTTACTCCATCGTAAGGGGCAATGATAACAGCGTTTCCACGGAAATTCCATGGCCCCTCTTGCATTACTCTCTCCCAGTTACCCAGGCACCGGAACTGCAAAGTGTATATATTTGACTCCAGCGGTTTAAACTTGACATCTTGAGCTAGATCCCACGCAGCGCTCATGTTGCGGAAAAACCAGCCCTGGCTATAGGTTTATCAATATGAACGCGAGCAATTGCCAACCATCTTGCTGCATCTTCCGGGACAGATCCCTCATCGACCACCACATTGTCCATATCATCCTCCTGAAGGCCTAGTTCAACCATTAGTTTCTCAATCTTTGATGCAGAAGAAGAGCCCCCGGCCGTAGCCGATCCGCTCGCATCTCCCGCAGCCATGAACGCTAAACCTAACCCGATCTGATGAGACAAACGGGTCCTTCGTGACGGAACCTAACCCAAGCCGCCTGCGAACAGAGATCGTCAGGGCAGGAAGCCCCGGTCGGATCCCCCGCAGCCCGGCGGGAAGGAAGAAAACCGTGGATCTCAACGGCGGCGAGAAGTCGCCTCCGAGAGGAAGAGAAACCCTACCTTGAGGGAGAAGTAGCCGTGTATAGGAGTACTAGCAACACTTTAGCATGTTAGTTATTTCTTCCCCGGGCCCCTAAAAAAACATAGACAGGCCCCTAAAAAAACAGACAGGCCCAACTCATTAAAAGCCTGGCACTGGGCCATGGGCCTCCATTGGGCCCTTGCCGACGCCCCAAAACAGGTTATAATATCGGCAGGCGTTAGTGGCAGCAAGCGCGAGCGGCAGCGTGTGGCCTCCGTTGGCTGGCAAACCACAGGCCACCCCGTTCGGATAGATAGCCGCCCGCCTCCCCTCTCCCCACCACACGGCCACAATCCGACTCACCACCGCGCCTCTTCCTCCTCCCGCTCACCCACCCATGGCGACGGCTATGATGGCTGCAGCCACCACCTCCTGCTCCCCGCCCCGAGCGCTCCTCAAGCCCGCGGCCTCCTCCAGCCCCGCGCCGCCGCCCAGGCCGCAGCCACGGTCCTTCCTCAAGCAGCTCCCGGGGCTCGCCGCGACGGCGGCGGCGGCGGCCGTCGCCTACGTGCCTCTCCCGGCGCTGGCCGTGGAGATGGAGAAGGCTGCGCTGTTCGACTTCAACCTGACGCTCCCGGCGATCACGATCGAGTTCCTGCTGCTGATGGTGGCGCTGGACAAGCTCTACTTCTCGCCGCTGGGCAAGTTCATGGACGAGCGGGACGCCAAGATCCGCGCGGAGCTCGGCGGCGTCAAGGACGCCTCCGAGGAGGTGCGGCAGCTAGAGGAGCAGGCCCAGGCCATTCTCAAGGCGGCTCGCGCGGAGATCGCGGCGGCGCTCAACAAGATGAAGAAGGAGACGACCACAGAGCTGGAGGCGAAGCTCGACGAGGGCCGCCGCCGCGTGGAGGCAGAGCTCGTGGAGGCGCTCGCGAGCCTCGAGGGGCAGAAGGAGGAGGCCATCAAGGCGCTGGACGCGCAGATCGTGTCGCTCAGCGACGAGATCGTCAAGAAGGTGCTCCCATCCGCGTGAAAACATTAGTAGATCACGCAGCGCGCAGCAGCCGGCGCAATCCCCCGTTTCATAGTAAAGATTTCTAGTTCTTGATGTGTAATGTATACGCCCACTGGGCTGCCTCCCCTAAGAATGTAACTGAATCAAACATTCTGTGATCGGGTATAAATGAATGATCCTTTTGTACACTACTCTGCCCTGAATCTGAGTGGTCCTTTAATCCCCAATTCATTTACTTCCGGGAGAACCCAAATATAGTGTTAAAAACGCTATTATATTATAGGACGGGGGAATACTAAAGTAGAATGTCCTTTGTTTATGACATGTTGTTAGACATTATTCTTTAGCATTACTGTAATAGTATCATTAGGCTAACATTAGACCACCTACAACATGATTAACAGAGAGGGGTTCGCAAGAACCTGTACCGAGTAAAGTCCCATGCCTGCTTGATGCAAGCTTGGTGTAACCCATGATAATACTTGGGACCATCGTCTCCTTTAGCACCTCACTAGGATCGGGCGTTAGGGGTGGAACCTCCATTATCGTGTGGATAGTGAGTTTCCGACGGTGGGGGCACTTTTCCTTTTATACTAGGTTGTATGGAGGCGGGACCGAGACCATGTCGTTGGTTCAGTGCCCCTTATTAGGACACATACGATCGGAGGTATCCACCTTTTCTCTTTCTGGTTGTTACAACTAAGATCAATTTCAGTATTCTTCCCCTTGATCATTAGGTTAACAAGCATCATAAGCCCACTTTTAATAGAAATAACATACCAACTAAGGTGTTGCAATGGTCAATGAAATGTCACTGTACTTAATACTTATAGTGTATCATTCTATTTTAAAATGGGTAGCATGTTACTTTAGGAGTTGGTTTATTTAATGGTCCTTGTTTCCAGGATCCACGGGCTTTCCTAACCCACGCGAGGAATCTTATCATACAAGGGTAAATTGTCAGCCTTAGTAAGTGGAACCAAAAAACTTATAAATCAAACATCATATGTTTGATTGTGGACTCTTATCTTTCACAACACGAAACATAATGTCAAGGGTTTTGGCAACACCAACTGACTAGTTGTTGATGGGGAACGTTGCATGGAAAACAAAAAAATTCCTACAAAACACCCAAGATCTATTCTATGGAGATGCTAGCAACAAGAGAGAGAGAGAGAGAGAGACAGAGGTGTCTACATACCCTTGTAACGGTCTAAATATCGTGGTTCTCAAAGTCGTACTCCCTTCGCAATCCAATCCGATCCAGCGCCGAACGGACGACACCTCCGAGATGTGCACACTTACGGCTCTGTGACGTTTCCGCCTTCTTGAACCAGCAAGGGAGGGTGGAGAGGTAGATGGGATCTAGGCCAGCACGATGGCATGTTGGTGGTGGTGGCAGCGAAACACCGAGAGGGCTTCGCCAAGCACTAAGCGGAGGAGTAAGAGGAGTAACGGGAGGGAGATGCACCTATGGGTGGAAGGGTTGCTGCCCCCTACACCTCCCCCTTTATACAAGCATGGGAGGTCTGGGAGGCTTGCTCCCCAAGCGGGTTGTTGGCCAAGCGGGAGAGGAAGGAAATCTCTCCTTTCGGTCCCCACCGATCATGATCCCCTCTTTTTAGGGATCTTTATTATTCCTTTTAGGGGGATCTTGGTGCGCCTAGACCAGGAGCCTTGCCCCACTACCCACGTTCATGTGGGCCCCCCATGCAGGTGGGCCCTGCTTCGAAACCTCCTAGAACCTTCCCGATACAATACCGAAAAATCCCGAACATTTTTCTGGAACCCTGAATATGACTTCCCATATATAAATCTTTACCTCTAGACCATTCCAGAGCTCCTTGTGATGCCCTGTATCCCATCTAGGACTTCAAACAATATTCAATCTTGCCATTATTAATACCCAATACTACCTTAGCGTTACTGAATGTTAAGTGTGTGACCTCGCGGGTTCGAGGATCATGCAGACATGACCGAGACACCTCTCCGATCAATAATCAATAGCAGGACCTGTATGCCCATATTGACTCCCACATATTCAATGAAGACCTTTATCGGTTTGAACCACGACGTCGAGGATTTAGTTAATCTCGTATATAATTCCCTTTGCCCAGCGATATGTTACTTTCTCGAGATTCGATAGTCGATATCTCCATACCTTGTTCAATCTCGTTACCAGCAAGTCTCTTTAATCATTCCGTAATACAATATCCCCGTGACTAAACTCATTAGTCACATGCTTGCAACCTATTCACGATGTTGTATTACCGAGAGGGCTCAAAGATATCTCTCCGTCACATGGAGCGACAAATCCCAGTCTCGATCCATGCAACCCAACAAATACTTTCCGAGATACCCGAAGAGTACCTTTATGGTCACCCAGTTATGAAATGACCTTTGATAACCCACAAAGTATTATTTCGATATATTATGGAGTGGCATGATCTCATGGTCTAAGGAACAGATACTTGACATTACGAAAGCTATGGCAAATTGAACTTGGTGACACGATCAGATGCTAAGCTTGCAGTTGGATCTTGTCCATCACATCATTCTCCTAATGATGTGATCCCGGTATTAAATGAAAACTCATGTCTATGGTTAGGAAATCTTAACCATCTTTAATCAAGAGCTAGTCTAGTAGAGTCTAACTAGGGACACGGTATTCGTTTATGTATCCACACATGTATTTAAGTTTCCGATCAATACAATTATAGCATGGATAATAAACATTTATCATGATCATAACATCATTATTACTGCCACTAGGGCATATTTCCAACAGTTGTTACTCACATAGAGGATTGCATGTTCATAATCGCAGTCGTGAGGGTGCGGGGTACGAGGTGTGTAGAGCTTAGACTGGTAGATCATCCAAGAAGCCTCATCCGCGCAATGTTGTGCACTGCTCCTTCGGACAAGAGCTCGATTTCTCCCTACATTGGGAGGCCAAGCTGCTCATGTTACAAGATGTCTCAGTGTGGTTCTTGGTATGATGTCCTACCACCTATGAAGCGTGTTTGCCCTTGTCGGCTCGACGACCGTCATGGCGGAGTGGCACTCTCAAAGACCGCACGGTGGTCCGCGACGACATCCACGTCCTATATTAGGTTCCACCCATGCCCGACCGATGCCTTCTGAGCCACCCTGCACTTGTGATCATCCTTTAAGTTCTCCTCATATTGGAGGACTTGCTATCAATGATCCTTGATGTCCTGAATTTTCCCGAGCAACCGACTGTCGTCCTTGGCTACCTTATGTGGTTACCTGGTCAGCCTCAAACTAGCCAGCCTTTAACTATCCTCATCGTGTCAGGGACTGTCGAGTGATTCATTTAGTATGTCCTCATCATAGGGGCCTAACTCGCTCATCGACAGAGGTACCATTTCTCGTCGCGTGGTTCATCATGCGATTGGTTCTTCCTCTTGGGATCGTGATCGAGGTCATCATCGGGGCCATCGTCGTTGCCTTGGCTGGCGTTTGGCGTGTCCACATGTAGCAATCATAGGTCAAAGTCGCCTGCCACTTGCATAAAGGCACCATTGCTGGCAGTCAATTGTCCGCAAACTCGCCGACTTCCTCTTCTGTGTCTTTTGCCTCCGCAGTGGCTCCTTAGAGGACCTCCATGAGATCATCGGTGTTGGCGATGAGATGGGACCAAAAAATTCGAATTCTTCCGACATCTCCCGAATAAAATCTGAAAAATCCAATCATTGTTGCTCCAGGATCCAGCTTGATGCCAAAGCCTGGAGGACCATCCATCCTGGAGAAAAGGTCTCGACTTGGCTAAGGTGGCCGGTCGAGCCATCAATGAAGGTGGCTACATCGAATATGAACATCTGTTCCGTGAGAATGTCTTGCCGGAACCGATCTGGGCGTCGATCTTGATTGCTATCGAGTTGCGGTGTTCGCCTGGCAGGATTTGTATCGGCCACCATTGTCGTAGCTAAATCCAGCAAATCCCTTGGTAGGTGATGTCTACTACACAACCATCTTCTTGTAGATGTTGTTGGGCCTCCAAGTGCATAGGTTTGTAGGACAGTAGCAAATTTCCCTCAAGTGGATGACCTAAGGTTTATCAATCCATGGGAGGCGTAGGATGAAGATGGTCTTTCTCAAACAACCCTGCAACCAAATAACAAAGAGTCTCCTGTGTCCCCAACACACCCAATACATTGGTAAATTGTATAGGTGCACTAGTTCGGTGAAGAGATGGTGATACAAGTGCAATATGGATGGTAGATACTGAAAATATAAAAACAGCAAGGTAACAAGTGGTAAAAGTGAGCGTAAACGGTATTGCAATGCTAGGAAACAAGGCCTAGGGTTCATACTTTCACTAGTGCAAGTTCTCTCAACAATAATAATATAATTGGATCATATAACTATCCCTCAACATGCAGCAAAGAGTCACTCCAAAGTCACTAATAGCGGAGAACAAACGAAGAGATTATTGTAGGGTACGAAACCACCTCAAAGTTATCCTTTCTGATCGATTTATTCAAGAGTCCATAGTAAAATAACACGAAGCTATTCTTTCCGTTCAATCTATCCTAGAGTTCGTACTAGAGTAACACCTTAAGACACAAATGAACCAACACCCTAATGTCACCTAGATACTCCAATGTCACCTCAAGTATATGTGGGTATGATTATACGATATGCATCACACAATCTCAGATTCATCTATTCAACCAACACAAAGAACTTCAAAGAGTGCCCCAAAGTTTCTACCAGAGAGTCAAGACGAAAATGTGTGCCAACCCCTATGCATAAGTTCACGATGTCACGGAACTCGCAAGTTGATCACCAAAACATACATCAAGTGGATCACGCGAATATCCCATTGTCACCACAGATAAGCACATGCAAGACATACATCAAGTGTTCTCAAATCCTCAAAGACTCAATCTGATAAGATAACTTCAAAGGGAAAACTCAATTCATCACAAGAAAGTAGTGGGAGAGAAACATCATAAGATCCAACTATAATAACAAAGCTCGTGATACATCAA